CCCTGTAGCCCCAGCTGGCCTGGAACTCACTATGTAGACCAGACTGGCCTTGAAGTCACAGAGATCTGCCTGCCTCTGCTGGGATTAAAGGTGTGCACCACCACGCCCAGCTCCAACTTGATTCTTTTTTAGAAAAAAAATATTTAAAGTTGTATTTATTTACTCATTTATATACATGTGTGTACATATGCATGCATGCTACAGCACACATGTGGAGTTCAGAGGACAACTGGCAGGAATCAGTTCTCCCCTTACATAATATATATGAGTCCTAGGAATGGAACTCAGGTTGACCTCAGGCTTGGTAACAAGTGCTGTTACATTATCCAACCCCTCTTCCCCCTTGGGGTGGTTCTTTTGGTTGGTTTTGGTTTGGGTTCTTGAGACAGAGTCCAGCTGGCCTGGAACTCCTGGGTTGGCCTTGAACTCACAGAAATGTGATTGCCTCTGCCTCTGGAGTGCTGAGATTACAGGTGTGTGCCACCATGCCTGGCCTTTGGGGTGGTTCTTGATTCTTCTCTTTTAGCTCTATCTTTCAAAGATATCTAGAATTTGCCTAGTTTTTCTGCTTCTCCAAATAGTCATCCAAACCACCATCAGCTCTTGCAGGGATGTTTGCAGTGCACCCACCCCCACCCCCCACCCCCTGCTGCTTCTACACAACAGTCAGAGCCATTTGGATCAGAAGTCAGAGGAGTCCACTTTTTTCTATTAAACCCTCCAAGGGCTTTCTAGCTCATCAACAGAAAAGCCAGGCTTTATTATGATATTTAAAGCCCCATGTAGGGACTAAGATGTAGTTCAGTGGTACAACACTTGCTTAGCATGAATGAAGTCCCTGGGTTCAATCCCAGCAAGCACTGAAAAAAAAAAAGTACTCTGACTTCACTACTTACTCCTTTCCCCTCACTTGGTACACTCTAGGCCCACTGTCCTCTTTGATGTTTCCAGAATACACAGTCATGCCTCTATCCGAAGCCTTTACCCTTGACATTCCCTATGCCTAGGATGCTTTTCCAGCATCTGGGATATAATTCATTTATCTCCCCTCTCTCCCTCTCTCTTCTTCCCTCTGTGTTCACATGTCAACTCACAGTGATGCTCTTTCTAATCACCTCTACCTGTGTATTCTGGAAACATCAAAGAGGCCAGTGGACCTAGAGCGTTCCCTTTGCTGGGATTGAACCCAGGGACTTCATTCATGCTAAGCAAATGTTGTACCACTGAGCTACATCTTAGCCCCTATATGGGGCTACGATTTCAACCATACCCTAGCAATGTCTATATGCATTTTCAGTTTTATTTTTCTTCTGCTTAGCATTTTGTAAATTTTAGCACTTTATGGAGTTTCTATGATAGACGTGACTTGTAAAATAAAAGTGAAAATCCTGAGTGAAATAGGATCAGTTTTTCTAGCTTGGTCTTAGCTTTTTCCTTACCTTTACAATAATGGTTCCATAAATGATTGTTCTAATTTTGCAGTAAATATTGATCAAACAAAACTTTTTTACTTAGCTTCCAAAAATTAGCAAGCTATATACATTTATTCTTATTTTAACTATCTACTTATGGTTCCCACTGGGTTATTAAATTCTGGACTCCAATTTTTATAACATTGATCTGTTAATTCTTCCAATAACTTTATTATTGCCCTGAGGACATAGACAAAATACTTGACCTGATCAGGACAAGGTTCTCTATTTCCTGTCTTCCTTGCCAGCCCAACTTCCTCTATGCCTACTTGCAGTCTTTGGGTCTTCTCCTCTGGTCTTCCACAGGCTGTTGTTCTGCCTTGCCAAATCTTTCACTGTCCTCTGTCCCTTCAGTTCATAGCTATTGCTTCCTTGAGTCATTGCTAGAGGTAGAAACTATCACATACTTTACCCACATCCCTCTTCCTTGTTGATGGAACCTAATACCCATAACAGAGACCAAAATTGCTGTGTGCTTGCTTCCCCAAAGGCCTCGCAGCTAGCACATGGCCATGTCCAAAGCTAGTTGGATTTGAAATATTTATGAGAAAAAACAGCTTCTGAAAGAAAAGAGAGAGAGAGAGAGAGAGAGAGAGAATGAGATACACACATAAGAAGAAATCCTCCTATCCTTCCTTTGAAGGCCATTATATAAGGACAAAATGCCCAGAGTTGTGACATCTTCTGAGAAACGGGAACAAAAGAAGGTAGCCACCCAGATAGGGCGAAGGCGCCTAGAGAAGGAAAGAGCCTTGGGCTTTAATGACATCATTAATCTAGCCTTGAACCAACCCTGAACAAATGTACACATTTTCTGTCATATCAGATAATAAATAGCTTAATTATTTAAACCTCCATTTGTTAGACATGCTACAACCAAAGACATCTTTTCTAATGCTCTTATACACACAAAGACTTCTCTGACTTCTGTGACCAAGTCAACCCTTTGTGTAAACTCTCCTAGGACACTTTGTTTCTCCTTCCTAGCATCTCCCTCGCTGCAGTTTTAACAATGTACCT